CCAGAGCTACACAGTGAAACTCTAAAAAACAAAATAAAACAAAACAAGAAAGAACCCAAGGTAAACAACCACAGCATGTGTGCAGAAGCCCTAGGGCAGACCCATGCAGGCTCTGTGCTTGCTGTTTTAGTCTCTGTGAGTCCTTATTATCCCTGCTTAGTTGATTGTGTGGTCCATGTTCTCCTGATGTCCTGAGTGCTCTGTCTCCTACAACCCTTCCTCCCTCTCTTCTGTGGGGTTCCCCGAGCTGTTGTGGATGGCAAATGAGCTGATCCAGAGTAACAGAAGGCCCCATAAGGATTCATCTCTGTCCTGGACCTCCTGGGCTTTGCAGTCACTCTCTGCCTTGGATTCTGTTTCTTGTGTCCCACTCTCTACCATGCTCTTTTTGAATGGGCTCAGGAGCCCTGGCCACACACACACACACCACACACCAAGGACTCCTTGAGCATCTGTATCATTTCAACATCATTCTGTGGAAAGGCTGGGTTCCTCACCTGAGACCAGGAGCTGCAGGGGGTCACTAGGTTCTGACCACACCTGTGGGCTGTTCCTGTGAAAGCTGTAGCATCTGAATGTCCACCTTTGTCTGGAGGTCACAGGGCCCACAGAGAGCAGGGCCTCGAACTGTCCAGTAGAGTAGTTATACTGTGAGTTCCTTGTCCAGGAGAGCTTCTGAAGTCCTTCCTTCGTCAGAATGAACCTGTGATATCTCTGCCCTGAGACACACTGGAGGGTGACAGTCCCTCCTTCAGTCACCACAGGGCTGGGCTTGGCTGACAGGCTGGGTTTACTGTAGGCTCCTAGGAGAGAAGGAGGAATCAGTTAAATGTTCTCAAGGTCTCATTATCTCCCATGATATGAGGTGGGGGCATTCTTGTGAACAGACCCACTTCTTTACAGTCAAGCCTGAGTCTCTGGACCCTATGTGTTCTCTCACCTGTCACCACCAGCTCCAGGGAGTCACTGTACTCTGACCACCATCCATCACGGGTCCGATATTGACAGCTATATCGCCCTGCATGATTGTGGTCAATTTTTGAGATTGAGAATTCAGCCTTGTTCCTAGGACTCTGTGGAATCTCTGTGCTCCGTAGAATCTCGTATCCCTCTTTATAGAGTATGTACTCTTTGGCTCCTGTGGTCCCCTCACACAAGAAGATTACGGTAGTATATTGAGAGACTACAGAGGCTGGTTGTGCTCTGAGGATAAGCTTAGGGAGGGCCCCTGCAAGAAAATGAGCAGCTATGACCAAGGACAGCCACCTCAGATTTCAGGCACATCCCCAAACCTCCAGCCATCCCCAGGGGCAGCACACATGTGTTGTGCTCCATCCTCACTGCCCAGGCATGGCTGCAGGAATGATGAGAAGTGAAGGTCAGGACAGCTGCAGACACTCACTCACCTGCCAGCACTGGGCTCCCCAGGCCCAGAGTCAGTCCGGGAAGAGAGTTCCCTGTGAGAGGTTTGTCCCTGAAGCTTGAGCAGGTCCTCCCCTCTGCAGAACCTCCTGAGACCCTGGGGTTTCCTGATGGACAAGTGCTGGACTGTGGGGCAGCATCAATCCTAGACCACAGTACCCCCTCCCCATCTCCACATCTCACCGAGACAGAGCAGGGCTGTGAAGGTGAAGGTCATGGCATCTCCTCCTGGAGGCTGCAACTTTGCTCATGGGCAGAGATACAGAGACTGTCTGGAGGGACAGGAGACACAGGGTGTGGTCTCTGGAGGCTGGACACTCCCCATGACATGGTTGTACTGGAGCAGCCCCACAGGAAGGGGAAGTGCCCTCCTCAGGCCCCAGGCTCTGACTTGTCCAAGGCTGTGGCTAGTTCAGGTAGTAGACTGTAGTCAGTTTTTTCACCGAGGACATTTCCATATTCTCATCAGTGTCTGTCTCATCTGTCCTAATCTTTGTCAGTTCCACCTGGATGGAACTGTATAAATATTATACATAAAAACACATGTATGTCTATTACACACATGAAACACAAATTTAGATATGGGCTATCTTTATTTCATTTTTTAAATGTGAAATACTTTTTAGTATTTGAAATGTTCAAAGGTTTGTGTGAAGGGTCTTGCTGTGTCCTTTGCATGGAATAAAATTCATAATCTTCTTCCTCATAGTCTCAAGTGCTGGGTTACAAATGTGCACCACTAGTTTTTGTTGTTTGTTCTTTTTTGCTGTGTGTACTTTCCATTACAACTT